GTTAGTACAGACCCCCGGCACCACCAGCCAGGGGCCATTATGGTCTGTTTATATCAAGATGGTGTTTAACTGTTTCACCACATGACGTCATGGTGTATTGTGCTTGAATTATATATCATAACACTGTAAAATATGCAAGTATTGTGTAGTGCTACTTGTGTATTGTGTTCATTATATAAAGTTAGAAGACCATTATTAGACTGTGAATTTGTGATAGTTTCATAGTTATTAAATGTTTGTAGCTACAGCAGTGTTACCAAGAAGCTTATTTATTTAATGTACACACACACACACACACACACACACACACACACACACACACACACACACATTCATTTTATTACAGCCCAACACCAGGCGAATTTAACGACGTATTTTGTCCTCCGAGTCGTGCAGTATGGCCAGGTAATTGAGGAAATTCCCTACAGGCTTAATAAATGAGAGGAAAAAAATCTAATTAATTAAAACAAAAAAAAATCCGGGTTGCATTATTTAGACTCTTGAAGTACACGATAACAAGAGGAAAAAATATGTTTAATTTCTAAATCTTATTGCAGGGAAACCCACCAATATGTACCCCCCTTCCTCCTCCTCCCTTATCCCACCCCCATTCCCCCTTCTCCCCCTCTCGTCACCTCTTCCTCCCCTCCCTTCTCTCATCTCCTTCTTACCCCTTCCCTCTCCTCCTTTCTCCTTCTTCCATCCTCTTGCCCCCTCTTCCTCACCTCCCTACCCCTCCTCCCCTCTCATTCACTCTTCCTCACCTCCCTTCCCACCTCCTCTTTCCTCCTCTTCCTCCTTTCCTTACCTTTTCCTCTGCTCATAGGCTACTGTTTCTCTATTATCCGTGTGTGTGTGTGTGTGTGTGTGTGTGTGTGTGTGTGTGTGTGTGTGTGTGTGTGTGTGTCTGTGTGTGTGTGTGACAGAGAGAGAACAGACAGACTTAGAGAAAAGAAGGAAAAATTTAGTAAGAAAATGAAAAAGATAAAAAAAAGGAATGGAAGAGAAAAAGCAAAGGGAGAGAGAGAGAGAGCGAGAGAAGGAAAAGAGATAAAAGAGAAGGAAAAAGGAGAGAGAATGGAGGTAAAGACAGAAAAAATAACAAGAAAAACAAAGAACAGTGTTACCAAGTCAGATATTTAATATGAAAGACACGTTAAGTTTAACATTATTACCAACTTGGGTATGAAATGGGTTTTTTTTTTATTATGAGACAAATTTCAGAACTTTACACGATAGAGAGAATGGAGAGGAGAGAGAGAGAGAGAGAGAGAGAGAGAGAGTTGCCAAGTCAGATGTTTAAGATACAAAAAAAAGACAGTGTTACCAACTTGGGGTATGAATGAGTCGTGTTTAATTTTAGTTAAAAAGATCAAAGTTTGTAGGCAACAGTTTCCACAACACGATGGGGCGCGGCAACACACACACACACACACACACACACACACCTACCCACCCGAAATGAGAGGAATGAAGGAGGTGAACAATAATGCAGAACAACTCAATAGAACAATCTCAATAGAACAACTCAATGGAACAATCTTAATAGAACAACTCAATGGAACAATCTCAGTGGAACAACACACAGTCATGGTGGACACGGAAGAACCAATTGAGATATGAAAGTAAATAACGAGAAATTCTTATTGACAGTCGCAAGAAAATAAAAAGTTGGAATACAAATTTCAAGTCGGTCTGGATTTGCTGGTCTTATGGGAAAAAACATTTCCCTTTGAGTGATATGAAGATTCAGGCAGTTTACATTTAATTTATTTATTTATTTATTTAATTAATTTGCTTATTATTTTATTTATTCATTTTATATATAATTTTATTTTTTTCCATTGATAAAAAAAAAACAATTCTAGTTGGTGGATTAAGTTTCTGGTCTGGAGGGGAAAAATATATATACTTTATTTTTTTTACTTCTTTTGTAGGTAAATCAAAGCGGCGGTGAAGGTAACTTTTACCAGAAGCCTCGTAATGACTTTAGCTAAGTTTTCCAAATTACATGTTTTTTTCTTTGGTTTTTTTTTTTGCCCGTAAATAGATTTGTTCAGTGGCAGGATTGTGGTTAACATCCTTATTGTCTCTTGTTTCTCTCTTCTCTTTATTGAATTTCTTTTATTTTCTTTCGTGTGTCTTTCGTTTTCTTTCGTATCTTTCTTGCTCTTTATTATAATTCTCTTGTTTCTTTATCTTTACGCCTTATTATCTCTCTCTCTCTCTCTCTCTCTCTCTCTCTCTCTCCAAAACAACAAATCCACAAATTTCCGAAGACTTTATCCATACCTTCCCGCACCTGACGCGCACACACACACACACACACACACACACACACACACACACACACACACACACACACACACTAATACGAAAAAAAACCTAATATAATCGAGTCATCAAGTTGTTTTGGAATAATTATCTGTGTCCCGGGTCAGAGGCTTTGGTAGTCCTGGCCATCAAAGGAATTAGTTTCAAACAGCTGACGAACACGAGGCTTCAATTTTTTCCCTCCTCCCTTTCCTTTCCCCTATTTCCCTCCCTCTCCTCTCCCATTTCTCTCTTCCCCCATTTTCATCTCCCTATTTCCCCCTTTCCCATTTCGCCCCCCTCCCTCTCCCCCATTTTCCTCCCTCTCCTCCCCTATTTCCCTCCCTCTCCCCCATTTCCTCCTCCCCCCCATTTCTCCCTCCTCCCATTTCCTCCTCCCCCACCTCCCACTTATCCTTCCTCATTTTCCTCCTCCATTCCCTCCCCATTTCACTTCGCCTCCTGATTTCCTCCTTTCACTCCACCTCCCATTTCCATACCCCATTTCCTCCCCCATACCCCATTTCTCCCTCTACTCCATCTCCCCCAACCTCCTATAGTAATGGAGCGATTCTAGAGCACCTGATTGGTTCTCACGGTATGACGTCACACGGTGGTATTTTGTAAACATTGTCTCGTGTTTTCATGGTCTTGTCTTCCCCCGAGATTGGTTGAGGTGAGGTTAGGTTAATATTTGGTTAGGATAGAGTGGGTTTATATGGTTTTTGTTAGGTTGATTATGGTTAGGTTACTTTACTTAAGGAAAAACACAAATTACAAGTAGTGGATGTACCTGCATTTTGAATCTAACAGGTGACGTCGCTTTGACAAATTGACATCATGTTACTGAAGTCACCTACAGGTTGGCCTCTGTTAGCTTCATAGTTACATAATTTGATCGTTTTATCATCCACCTTTACCATAATACAGGGTGGCCCAGAAAAATGTCCCTGTCTCTTGCCTGTTCCCTGCCTGCCTGAGACAGTGTGAGTTGGAGCAGGGGAGGCAGGGAACAGGCAGGAAGCAGGCAGGGAGTAGCCAGAGAGCAGGGAGGGAGGAAGGGAGCAGGCAAGGAGCAGGCAGGGAGCAGACAGGGAGGAAGGGAGCAGGCAGTGAGGGAGGGAGGGAGGAAGGGAGCAGGCAGGGAGGGAGGGAGGAGCAGGCAGTGAGGGAGCAGGCAGGAGTAGGCAGGGAGGGAGGAAAGGAGCAGGCAGGCGGGGGAGGGAGGCAAGGAGCAGGCAGGGAGGGAGGCAAGGGGCAGGCAGTGAGGGAGCAAGCAAGCAGGCAGGCAGGCAGGGAGCAGGCAGGCAGGGAGGGAGGGAAGGAGGAAAGCAGCGACATTTTTTTCCGGGTCATCCGATATATGGTCTGTTACAGGGCCAGTTATCCAGGTAATTGTCACTGTTAAGCTAAAAGATAACCGGAGAAAAATATGATAATGAAAATTTATCATCAAAGAGGAACATTGTGGAGAGTGCCCCCCATCCCCTCCCTCTCTCCCTCCCTCTCTCCCTCCGCCACCCTCCCACCCCCCCCCAGTGTGCCAGCAAAATGTTAAACACCTACCTGTGTTAATTATCGTGTACTGATATACCTGTGTGATGTTGAGGTAATTATCAAATTCTGATGCACCTGTGTGTCTCTGTGTAGTGGCATTGAATTATTATGGCACAGAAACTCCTCTTTATAATGTGTACTTATTTTATATTATTATTATTATTATTATTATTATTATTATTATTATTATTATTATTGTCATTATTATTTTTATCATCATTATTAATACGGTATTGTCATTATCTTTAACCTAGGAGTACCATATGATGTTGTGTGTGTGTGTGTGTGTGTGTGTGTGTGTGTGTGTGTGTGTGTGTGTTGTGTGTGTGTGTGTGTGTCATCTGTCCTCAATTTCCAACATTCATAAAAAAAACAACTCGTGAAAATATTCCCATCGAAGCCAACACAAGTTTAGAGGAACCATCCGAACAGTACTGAACATTAAATGGTCTTTTTTGTGTCAATAAACCTGGTGGAGTGTGAGGGGTGGTGTACTGGTGTACTGGTGGGGGAGGGAGAGGTGTGTGGTGGGGAGGGAGGTGTTGTGGTGGGGGAGAGGAGAAGGGTGTTGTGGGGGAGAGGAGGTGTTGTGGTGTACTGGTGGGGTGTACTGGTGGGGAGGAGGGGTGGGGTGGGGGGAGAGGAGGGTGTTGTGGTGTACTGGTGGGGGTGTACTGGTGGGGGGAGAGGAGGGTGTTGTGGTGTACTGGTGGGGGAGAGGAGGGTGTTGTGGGTGGAGAGGGGGTGGTGTACTGGTGGGGGGGAGAGGAGGGTGTGTACTGGTGGGGGAGAGGAGGGAGGTTGTGGTGTACTGGTGGGGGAGAGGAGGGTGTTGGTGTACTGGTGGGGGGGAGAGGAGGGTGTTGTGGTGTGGGGGTGTACTGGTGGGGGAGAGGAGGGTGTTGTGGTGTACTGGGGGGAGAGGAGGGTGTTGTGGTGTACTGGTGGGGGTGTACTGGTGGGGGAGAGGAGGTGTTGTGTGGGTGTACTGGTGGTGGTGGGGTGTACTGGTGGGGGAGGGTGTTGTGTGGGGAGAGGAGGGTGTTGTACTGGTGGGGGGTACTGGTGGGGGTGGGTGTTGTGGTGGGGAGAGGAGGGTGTTGTGTACTGGTGGGGGTGTACTGGTGGGG